AAAAAAAAAAAACAGCTCTCTGCCTTTTTTATTCCTTTCACCTGGTTTGTTTCGGTTCCTCACCGGCAACACTAATTGAACGAAGCGTCAAGAAGAAATCTGTTATTAAAGCGTAAGTTCGTATCTGTTGGCAGTGGAAAGGGCAGTTTATTTTGTTTGCTTTCATTTAGTTATTTTTCGTTATTTCGTGCTGCAGGCCATGGAGGATGTTTCTGCCTGTGAAACGCCACTTTCGCGAAGCTCTACTGGTGGAAAAACATACTTTACTCGCATGAATGACGAAAGACGGAAAGCGCTAGATGCGGTGGTATGTTAAAAGTTTTTTCTGAAAGATCGACTCCGCATTATGCCTTTTTATGATTGGTCGCTTAAAAAAATGTTAGCTTTTTACTTTAGCTATACAGTATGTACAATCTTGAGGTAGGGGACAAGGGGAGCGCGTAAGAATTCATATCCTGGATGAACAGCGAAAGTTTTTTAAAACGTTAAACGTTCTGAAATGGGGTTTTCGCTCTGTTGAGCGTTTCCTGACAGCATACAGAAAAGCAGTCCAAGTTACATCAAATTTTTACCGCCTGTTTAATAACGAAAAATGAAGTTTTAAATGCTTTTTTCACGTATAAGGAAACCTTAGCCATAGTTATTAGGATCTGCTTTACATGAATGTTCTGAGAGGTTTTTTATTTTAATTGTTCCGATGGAGTTAGAATTCAGGGATTATGCAAATTATTTTTGGTTGTTAGGGGGGCTCAATAGTCATTTAATAAAAGCTTGTGTTAATTTTCTATGTTATTTAATTAAAAATATGGAAGCTGACAACCCATATTCATTGAGGTTGTTGCAGAATAAAGGTCTTTTCTGTGTTTTTATTTGCTGCAGAATTTCATTTTGAAGTTTTTTACAGAAGCGGGTTATTGATTTTGGAAATCCGCAGAAGTGGAATCGTAGCGCTCAGCGAAAAAATTTTTTTAAGCTCACTGTAAGTGATTTACAATAGTGCAAATTTTAAGAGCTATTTGGTTTTTTAAACGCTGACTTGTTTAAGGTGTTTTACTACACATTGTATCACTTATAGACCCAATTGTCAATCTTTACTAATTATAAGATTATCGAAGGTTTTATGTGTTACTTACTGATGCACATTAATAGTTAAACTTCACGAAATATAGTATTTATTTCGAGGGGAAAAGAATTGAAGATTTTACTCGTCTACTTATTTTTTTATATATTTTGGATTTATCGTGAGATGGGAAACGAGCGAGAATTCTCTTATTTTGCATAAATTTTTGAAGTGTAATGGTTTTTTGATTCTGCTATTCATTATGCCTTTATTCTTCTGAAATTCTTGCGATGTTTTATAATGCTGCGATGGGATGGAATATAGCTGAACGGTGAAAAATTTTTACATTTTAAAAAGGATTTTTAGAATAACTTTTACCAGAAGGAGGAGTCTCCAAAGTATCCCTTACTGCCGAATTACCTTATGAATCCGGAAACACCAACGCAGAAATTTCGTCTCACTTGCGGAAGATTTGGCGATCCTCCTTCAGTCAGCATTTTTTTCATTACATCTGAATTTTGTTGAATTTTTGTCGATAACATGAGGTCTTCGTAAGAAATTAGTTTCTGCTTTGCAGAAAGTGTTGTGTGAAAATGGAGACACTGTTATTGAAAGAAAGATGACAGGATTTGGGAGAACGTTGCATACTGCGCCGTATTCTATGAAAGAAGTTCCTATTCTTTTTCCTCAATTTTTTTCAATCAAAATCTTGTGTAATTGGACAAGCGGCTTGCTTTGTAGTCAAATGTGTGTATGTTTAGTATGTTTAAGCCAAGCATTTGCTTCTTAGGCGGAAGCTTCTATGGAGAGACAGAGCGCTGCGCCTGTTGGAGGAGTCGGTCAGAACGGCGTAGAAGAATTTTTGAGCGAAAACGATGGCAAGAGTACTTTAAGGCTGAAGTTGCAGGACTCTGAAGGCACAGTTCGGTACTATTTTCTGCTAGTGTTATCTCTAATAGTGGATAAATTTTTGAGCAGGATGCGTATGGAAAGAAAAGTGATAAAATATTAATTTTGCTTTCCTAAGTATCTCGTACACACTCTTTTACTGAAGTTGTAAATTTTTTATATTAGCAACCGCGTTCCCCGTGGTCAGACTCGTAAACTTGCTTCATTGTTCGAGAGTCTTGTGGAAGCAAACAGAGTATCGGAGTCGACAAAACGGCAATATCGACCTGTAAGAAAGACTGTCCCTCTTCCAGCACTTCGAAGCTGTAGCCCTACTGCAGAAGGTTTCTTATTTTCGGCATTTCAGTGTTACGATAATTGTTCAACTGGATTTTGTATGTAGTTTTTATTAAAATTATACTTTACGCAGTACTCTTGGCAAAGTCACTATGCTGTTTTAGTATTAGAAATCGGAGCAGGGAAATTTGTTCCTAAACCACTGAATCGTAACGTCAAAGATGAGCGAAATAGTGATCTTCAGCGAATTGAAATTATGAAGAGTGAAGAAGGAGTAAAATCCCTTGCTAAGAAGTTGGCTGTTTTCTATTTTTAATTTGAATATATTAAGAAGTGGGACTGGTTTAGCTAAAAGTGAACCAAAATAACAACTCGCTTTTTCGACTAATTTAGGCTTGAAGATTCCGGATTTCTTTGCTCTCCTTCTGTAGCGTCTTTAACAGGAAGTCCTGCTCGAACAGTCACACAGTTTAATTTCTCTCAAAAGCGCGCTGCTTCCCAATGGAAGGCAAGTGACATTGGAGCGTCGAATGTAGTCGACATTGTAAAGACGTGTCCGGACTCGCCGAAGAAGTGTCTAGCAGAAGTGAGCATTCGTTTTTTTACGATCATCTTTAGTGGAAAAACCTTAAATTTTTCCTAATTCTTCCTACCTAATGAAGAATTTCGCTGCGTTCGTTGAGATCAAATTCACTTTATACCAAATTCTTTGTGTCTACGCATATTTCGACCGGAAAAGTGCGTATAGTAGACAGTAGGAGGCAGAAGTATGGAATTCTGCAGTAATTCTCTTTTTGTCCAGAGAAGCTGTTCTAAATGAAACCGAACAAGTAGGAAAATTCATGAAGATTACTTCTGTCATTGGAATGATATTGATATTGACGATTAAGCGAAATAAAAATCACCTAGTTGTTTGCAGCAGGTGGCTGTCGAGAAGTTTACCTTTAAAATTTTTCTGGCTTGGTTTGGTATTCTGTTTACCTTCTAATTTGTTTTATAGTTCTCTTGCAACTCAGAATGTATGCCGGCGGAAGAATTTGTTAAATTACGCGAGCCGAATTATATTTCGATTGTACATTCGTCTGGTGATCATCGTTCTTCTTCTAACTCCTCTTTTGAGGATAAGTCGCTTGAACTACCCATACGCCGAAATGGTTTCTTTTTTTATATTCGCTAAAGGCTTGGTTTCTTGTTTTGCTTAACTGTTACATTTTAACATGTGGTATTTTAGGGTAATTTTCTTTCTCTTTTCCCTTTAGGAATCAATTTGTAAATTGTTCACTATGACTGTAGATCTAACATGGTTCGTGCACATAGTATTTAGAGTTTTAGGATTGTCTAAAAATAGCTTAAACAGTACTAGCGAGCAAGATCATCTGGAATTTATTGAAGAAGCATTCAAAGATGTGGATGAGGTATCCTAAAAGTCATTCCTTTTTTTGTAGAATCTTCAGCTGTACCAGAAGAGTGTAAAAGGTTTTTGAATCTTTGGTTGCTTTTGATTGCACTTTGTTATTTTTATCTTAGATTGCTGAGTTTATTATTGCAGACTGATTCACCTGCAGGTATGTGCCCGCAGCAGCCAAGGCAGGAAGAGCTTTCAGTCTCAGAATCAACTGGACAACCACAGAAAAGTGTTCCTAGTCCAAAAATGGGCCAGCGTGGTTATCCTGACCGCTTTAATGCAGAAAACAATCAGCTTTCTCAGGTTTGCCAAGAACTCGGATTAATTACAGAAAAACTTTTAATTTCAGGACATTTGACATCACTTTTCATTAAAAATCAGATTTTAATAGAGATCAGATAATTTTTACAGTGTTAATTAGTCTCTGTTATTATGACTTTACTTTTAAAGGACACCAGTCGAAGAAGGCTCAGTAACCTTTGTGAAAGTTTTTCAATGCCAGCAATGTCTCGGAAAACGTGTGAGGAGGAAGCTTTATACGTAAGGAAAATTTCATAAACTTTTTCACTTTGTCTTGTTTTATAGCAATTTTATCTAATGCATTTTTGGAGGTAAACTTGAGCCCGAATCGACGCAAGAAAGTTTTACCATTAGAGCCTCTAAGTTCATCTACACCGTTTGCTGGTTCTTCTTTTGCGGGAGAAGGAAGTAAAACGACTGGATCTGCTCTGAATCGGACTTTCATTTCATCGATTTTGAATGCAACAACTCAGAATAGTTTTTCCGTTAGGGAGGAAGATATAGCAGCAGAACTGAATGTATGTTTGTTTCGCTCTTTGAAGTAGTTGAACACTTACTTTGGATTGCATGAGAATTTTCCAATTTGTGTCGTTGCTTACTTATATATTAACTGTGATTTTATTCGGCACACGATTATTCGGAGTCTTGAAATGTTTTTTTTGTGAATTCTGCCTCGAAATTGTGTCCCTTTGAAGACTTGACATGTATTATGCTTTATTTTTTGTCTTTCAAGCGCCTGAAAGACGGGATATTCCATTGGAAAAGGGAAGCCGCTAAAGCAAATGAGGTCATTTCCAACCGAAAAAAAAGTTCGAAGATGAGGGGCAGTCAACAGGAAGTATCTGATTTGTGACTTTACTTTTATACTAAGTACCATAACTGGACGAATTACTAGCTTATGAAAATTTGCTCTTGAGATGGGTGAATCAGTTGAGTCTTGTTTTAACTCTGCTTAATTAAAGCGCTCTTACGCGTTCCTTTTTTTGTGTAGTTTCACGCTGTTCCAGCTCCGCGCCCAGAGGGATCTTCTGTTAGCGCGTGAACGTGAGGTGATGTTACAGCGCGAGGTGCAACGCATAAACGACCTTCATCTTGCTAATAGGACTTGTTTTCCAGCCAGAAGCAAAAGTCATGGTTGTCTCAACATTTACTCGGTTACGGTTTACTTGAACAGGAACTTCTGTTTGCGTAATAAAGACGAACGTAAGTGGAGAAAATAATTTTTTTGCAGCTTATAACTGCAATGTTCTCCTGTGTATTCACTGTCGTGGTTACCTTGTAATTATTTTATTGTAGACGACTCCTACGCATTCCTTGTTCTCATGAAAACCAACGAGGCAGTTGAAGCTACGGACTTATATTTACTGATGGACAGCAGAGCAATGAGAGTCAGCTCAATCAATTTTAGCGATCAAATCCGCTTTGAAAACCTTCCCGCAGACTTCTGTGTTAAGTTGGAGGTTTACGCTTTGGTTAGTAAATTTGAAGGTTTTTTACCAAATCATTTGAGTAATTTCGCTTAGCACGCGTATTACTGTGAACATGTCGTCTTTTTACCCCTGTTGACGCAAACTGAGTTAAGTTTTGCGTCCGAACTGATCTGTTTAGACTAATCAAGAATTGTGCAAGAAGTTTTTGCAGAAAGTTCGTGAGTTACCTAGCTTCGATGATGGTTCTTGTGCTCTGCTTAAAAGTAAAGCAAAGCTGCTGCTAAGTCCACGTAAGTTTCCTTCTTGTTCTATCGATTTTAGGAGCTAGCATTTTTAGGATTTCACTGCTATTATTTTTGCAGTGCTTCTCCGATAACCTAATCTTTTTTTTCTCAGTGGAATTCAAAATAAGTTGACGTTTATGCATTTCTAGTGAGAAAAGGGAATGCCAATGACTCACTTGTTGGGACTACTGATTTTGTTCGATGCGGCTGTGCCTGTATATTGAGAGACATGGTTGGGATACATAAAATGTATCTGGATGGGGCTGAGTATCCTCTGGAAGGCACAATTGAAGTGGATTCTGTTTTTAACATCAGTCCCCATGTTGTTTCTGTTGATTACAGCGGTTTTTTGGTAAGAACTTGTGTCATGGTACTATACTCAGTGAGCACATTATTCGTCTTGTTGGCTTCGCTCATACGTCAGTCTTTCACGGAATTTTTGTTAGACGATGTATGAAGTAATTGCTGGTTTTGGATCTTGGACGCGATATTGGGCGGTACTACGGCAGGGCATTGTTACTTTCTGGAGAGACCCGAATGACGAAGCTGCTGGAAAGGTCCTCTTACTTTGTTGTAAACTTTGTTTGAGACTGCAAATTGTATTTTATGAAAATCTATTTACAGCCACCCGTGGATAGGTTGGATTTGTCTCGTTGCTCTAAGGATGTTATAGTTCCTTGTACTATGGAAGAATGTTGGCGTCGAAATACATTTGGGATCAACTTGCTCATACAGCCTAATTCGAAATATCGTGCAGAAAGGTCGCCTTTTTTGGTGTGATAAAGTTTTTCACCACTTTTATAGAGTTTTCAACAAATCGTTTTTCTGTGCAGTGACTTTTCTTACGTTCATTTGATAACTATCGCTCTATCAAACAAGCCCGACTTCAGCGCTGTTTTGCCTAGTAATAGTAAGAAACATTTGGATTTACTAGGCAGAATTACCACTGTTTTCTTAGCTGTGGTGAGCGTTCTTCTCTTGTTCTTTAATTTGGGATCATCGAAGAAGCATGTGTAGGATTCTATTGTTACTTTGCTTGTTTACTGTGGTGCTGATGCTAGTTTTCAGGATTCTTCTCTCGGCAGATTGCAAAGAATTATGTGAAGGCTGGATGCAAGCGTTAAATAGGACTTTGCGGACGACACGGTTTTAAATTGATGGAACCAAGCAGTATTTTTTACTCATGTCTAGTATGGACTTGTTTTTTTCCAGAATTGTCATTTGTGTAATTACTTGTTATTTGCCAAATACTAAACGTTTTTTGTTTATCTGAGTCTACATTTTGCGCTCAGCCAACTTCATTTTTTATGGCTAAAACTTATTTCTGTCAATTTCTTCGGTCCGTTTCTTACACAAAACGAAGTGGGTTTTTTAAAGTCAGATTATGATAAATTTACGGTGACTTTTATACAGTCGGCTTTTTGCTTAATTCTGATGGTGTAAGATGTATTTTTCACACCTTCGATGACAGTTGTATTTCTGTGTATGGGTTGTGATTACATCCCTCATTTCAGGGTCTTTATTTGTTTTTCCAACTTTGGAACATATTTTATGAATCGTTTCTGATTCAAATTCATCTGGCTTTCTCTTATTTTTTTCGATTTGGTTAATCTGTCCTTTATTCCTTTTCGAATCTAATAGCGCGCTTAGTAAATTTGTAGCTAGGGTCACAGCCGTGAACTGTTGCAGTCTATGGAGCAGTTTTCCGTATTTCCTAGTTTCTTTTTTGGTTTTCTTTCATTATGAGTTCAGTCGATTCTTCATTCTTTTTTATAGCTTCTCGAGCTGCACCGCAATATCCGCTTTTTGAAGCCATATTTGTCACTACCTACTTGAATTCATGTGAAAACTTGTGAAAGTTGAGAAGCTTCGCTGAATTGA